TGAGGCGGCAGGGGTAGTGCCTGCCCGAAGGCGCTGCGGGAGCTCGTTTGTGGCACGCGTGCGCCTGGGGTAGAAATGGAAACGCCCTCCAGTGTTTCTGCGCTGGTGTCAGCGGTCAGAGCTTCAGGAATGCACGTTTGGCATCGGAATAGCCCAGGATTTGGGCATCTCAGGCCAGGTCCGGAGCTGTGTCAGGAACACCAGATTGCTTCGCAGTCCTTGTCTGGCTTTTATAAAAACCTGTCAGTCTAGCATTTGGTCAAAATTGTTGTGAAAGTGGCGCCCGGCGCATTCACGCGTGGGCACGGGAACTCCAGCTGATAGCTGAGCATCTCTTTGTTTACCACTTTTAAATTAAAATGGCTTTGTTTTTAAAAATTCTGGCAGCTTCCTGCCACGGGATGGGGATTGTGCTTCAGGAAGGTTTAGTGTTTTGTCATAAAACATCAGCTCTAACATAAACTCAGTATTGAAGAGGTTGTTACGTTTTTTCCTTCTCCCTCCTATCCGCTATGAAGACCTGCTAAATAACAGCAGCAAAGGTTACACTACAGCAGTGCAATTTTTAATTGTTCATGTGTGTCTTCAGAGAATCAGCTGACAAAAGGTTACTGCTGTTCATATAGGTCTAAATTTAGAGCTTAAACGAATTTAGCCATCCTTGGTGGAATATCTCAGCAGGAGAATTAGGTCTGTGCTAGTTTATCCACACCTGTATTTTATCCTCCAAAGCATCAGGCGTTAATTTTACTGAGATGTGGTTTTGTCCACACTGAGGTGTTTGTTAATGTTTAAAACTGTTCACTCAAATATTGTGCACTTGTAAGTGCAAAAAACAGCTGAAAACTTTGAATCAAGGGTAAAATTCTATCTCCATTGAAGCAACAAGATTTTTTCCAAGGGCAGGGCAAGGTTTCACCTTTTGTGTGCTCACTGAAAGTGAAAGATGTCAAGTAACAGAAGAGTTCGTTCTTGTTAAGCGCTGAATGCTGATGAGAAAAACCAAAGTCCCCCAGTTAGATTTTTTTTTTTTTAGTTTATTTCTTTTATTCTCCTTGAAACTATTGTTCTTACTTCTTGAACTGATGTTTTTGTTTTATATGCTTCGTGTAGATGAATGGACAGATGTGGACAGGAAACGAGGTACTGTAATCTGCTGGCTGCATGCAGTAGACAAACACCACTACATGCACACGAGGCTCATCGTACGTGAACACGCTGTACGCTGCTCCTGCAGCCTTCCAGTCAGTGTCAAAGATGACTAATAATACTCACCTGTTCATTAAAAAGCACTTTTGCTGTAGATCTTAGGAAAAAATAGAGAATATCCCAAAGTCATATGGCTTCAAAAACAAGTTGCTAATTTAACCAAGACTAGAAATAGATCAAAACTTTTTATCATAGCGGTTTTTCTAGCCAAAATGATATTTGTATTTTTCTAGCATCATATTAATGCAAGCATATAACTGGGTGAGCCTGGTGAAGGTGGTTTTTCTGCTTAAATGCAGCCATATTATGGATACTGAATTTTTCTAAGATTTTTTTCTATACATTACTTAGGGTTTTGACAGGTGAACTCCAGGAAAGATTTAAGGCATTTCCCTCCTCGCTGCTTATCCATCTCCGCTGGCGGTCACCGCCCTCGCAGCAGAGTGACCACACAGGACCAGGTGCCCACACTTCAGCCAGCCTCATCTTGACTGAAGTTACCCCTGACGGTGGGGTTGAGCTGCGGCGTCAGGTTCTGCAGCGGAGCAGCTGCGGTGCGAGTGTGCGTTCCTCTGGACTCTGCCTTGAAGTGTCAGCCCCCAGCAAAGGGGTGTGCTGAGGAGCTGGATGGGGAAATGAATCTCTTAAACTATCAGGTTTTTTGCTAGGTGAACATGAGTAGAACTTCCAGTGTCTTTCTGAGCAGCCCTCTGTGAAGACAGATCAGGGTTATGATTCGTGTTTTTCAAAATAAGCATCATTTGTAGGTTTTGAGTATTTGCTGAAGGTAAATACTGATATCCTGGAGTTTGTCCTGGCTTTTTTTTTTTTTTTTGCTACCTTTATGTGCTGTTTCCAAGCACACTTTTTTGCAGCTTTTAACATCTCAGAAGTCAAAAAGATTCTATATTCCTCTCTTATCACAACCAAAATGATGAGGAGTAGCATGAAAGCCCACTTTATCATATTTAGATGGTAGCAGCACAGATGCAGATCCCATGCTGACCAGCCAGCTTCTCTTGTGAGAGAAAAAAGTCTGCCTGTGAACGCCGCTGGTGGGGCGGTCTCTGAAGAGTCACACAGAGTAACCAGCCAGGTCTGCTGAGGAAGCCATGACGAGGCGGCTTTGCCTGCCTTTGACCTTGTCACAAACTATAAACCTACTGCAAGTAGAAGGTGTGACTGTCTTGGACTCGTAACATTCCCTCCGCTGCCTTGAATGTCCTGAGAAGCATGAGCATAACCCAGGCGGAGAGACTCAGTCTCATGTCATGCATCCGAGCCATGTTACGTGGCAGCGCGCTAGCCCTTGGAACGTGTCTGTCACCACTGACATGGCCCATGCAGGCGAAAACCACCGTAAATCCTCAGCTTCTCTTCTGTCCATCGCATTGTCTATACTCGGTTTCCCTCTCCCCATCCCAGCTGATGAAACCCCTCTCTTCTAAATTGCTTTTATGCTATGTTGCTTGCCGTGCCATTTTCCCTGAGCTAACGTTCCCTTCTTTGTTGTTTTCCATCGTTAGAATGGTGTAAATATCTCCGCAGGGACTACCTGTGCTCCGAGATCTCCTTGCTGTGTCATTATCAAACATACCATGTGAGATTTGCCCTTTACCATGATTTTTTAATGGCTTTCTCAGTTCTTTTTATAGCCAATACAAGAGGCTTTAATTTCAGAAGATAATTTGTGTAAGGCTGGGTGTGCAGTTAACGCAGATCTTCCGATTCCATTGTCACTATCTACCAGCTACAGTCAGCGAACTGGGACCGTGTCTATCTCCTGACAGTTTTGGTTATTAGTGACGCTCCGAAGATGGAGGAGAAGCCTTTGTGCAGACTACCTGTGCAAGCAACTTAAAAATATTTTCCTTGGTAGCAGCATAGGGCAAAAGTTCTTCTTTTTGCCATAATTCATTACTTGCAAAATGAAATATATGCTAATATGCTGTGTTTGATTTTCTCCACTGAAAAAAGTGAGGATTTTTGCCTCAGACTGAAAGTTGAGATTGTTTTATGGACAATTCATTTGAAAAGTGAGGAAGAGGAGGGATTTTTTTTTTTCCCATTTGTAATTACAAAGTGTTTTTGTAATCCACGCTGCTCAGAAACTGAGCTGAGACCTGTCTGTATTGTTTTGGTATTGAAAACAGGAACTGCTGAGCCCCGCAGGTGCAGTGCAGTGGATGCTGAAACGTGTGTGTCGCCAGTGATGCACACCAGTGTGGGAGAAAACCCGTAAACATCAGGTTTAAGTGGGGAGAGAGAATCTCATCACTTGTCCTCGGGCAAACGGCCATCCGTGTCCAGGTTCTCAGTGCCTGCAGCGTACCCAGCAACGTTCCCCAGAGAGTTAATCAGAAGATGAAGGGATGGGGATGTTGACTTCTTTGGGCTGTTTGTGTAGCTTCAGTACCACAGCTGTGAAAAGCCAGGTGTCTAACCCGCCCATGAATAGTTACAGCAGGGCTTCAGCAGCTGATCACTACCACTGTGTGTATGTTTGCTTTTTCTCTTTTTTTTCTTACTTCCACTGAGATTCTTCTAATCCATAAGAATCAGCTGGCATTATGAGCTTCAGTAACAATCAGCTGCTCAGGAAAATTCATGCTTGTACAGTAATCTAGGAACAGAAATTTTTGTTTAACTTTTTTTTGGTAGAGAAATAAATGCTTATTTATGATAGCTCTGTAGAATGTATCAGGTATGTGATAAAAGTATATCCAGCACAAAAGCAAAGATGCTGTATCTGCTTGAATCACTGCAAAATGTTTTCATGTTTTCTGTCTGCTTTGTATTAAAAGTTCAGTAACCAGAGCGTAGCCCTTATACTCGGCACTCTATGATCTCTACATACTCCTGAGTAAGCTGCATAACAATTCCATGTCTAAATTTACAAGTGAAAAAGTGAAGCACTCAAGGAAGTTTAGAGTTCTGCGTGTTTGAGCTGCTCTAGTATACGCAGATGTGGCTGTGTCGGAGCCCTGGGTGGCCTGACATAGATCTCAGTGTTATAAATGCTGCCTTAAATACTTGTCAATGTTAATCCGTTTAACACAAATACTTCAAGGAGCCCTGAATCATTCAGGAGCTTCTGTTTAGAAGGCAAAATAGACTTAATAGTGTCAAAGGCTAAAGAGAGAACAGGCAGTGTCAGCTAGCTATAGTCTGCAAAAATCTAGAGCGATGCAGAGGGCTCTGCGTAGGAAGCGCACCGAATCACAGGATGGCGGGGGTTGGAAGGGACCTCTGGGGCTCCTCTGGTCCAACCCTCCGCCACAGCAGGCTCACCCGGAGCAGGCTGTAGTGCTGGCCATTGCTGTGAAAACAAGGCAACAAACCCTGTCTTATTCCCACTGGAAACGAGGGTTTGTTGTCTACGGCTCAAGTCGCATTTCTGCCCGTGGGGACAGGCAGCAGGGATCGTGCTGCTCGCTTAGACCAGTGTGGGCGGAGAAACGTTAAGAAGCGATGTTGCTCCTCCATTTTTCTTTTGTGACTATGTACCTAGTTTTCACAGGTAAGCGGTCGTGTCAGTCCTCGCAGCTGTCAGCACCCAAGTTCGCAGTGTGGAGTGAATCAGATGAATGTGCTGTTTCTGAAGCAAAAAACAGAGACTCTTTGTCTTTGCAGTTATGAATGACATCATCACAACCATGTTCAATAAAAAATTTATGGAAGAGCTGTTTAAACCACAGGAACTCTATTCCAAGAAAGCTCTGCGAACAGTGTACGACCGGCTAGCTCATGCTTCGATCATGAGGCTGAACCAGGCGAGCATGGACAAGGTAAAAAAGACCCCCTGCCCTGTCCTGACTATGCTGGATTTCCGTGCTGCTGTTCACAAGTTTCTGACTGCGGTAACTAGTACATGGCTTTATATCACTGTAGTTTTGAAGCATTTTGTAACAGCTTTCCTTCCATTTGCTTCCTTTGTAAAAACAATTCTCAGCCAAGGAAGCTTCGTCAAAATCCATGGCATTATCAGATACTTCAGTACTTAAACTCAATACTAAGTATTTCTGCTTTAATGTGTAAATGTTTAATTATAAGAGGTTCAGTAAGCATTCTTTATTGGATATTTTATATATATTAAAAATGTGTGTGTATAAATATGTACATATATATAAATATAAATATTTCTGTGTTGACACTCTTTTGCAGTTGCAGTTTTTAAAATTTTTGCCTGCAAGCACTATATCCAGTGGACAATTTTGAAAGCATCTGTGGGAACTGGGTTACCTGTGAGACCTCTGCCCGGGTGTCAGCGTTGTTGAAATTGGCAGTAGTTCTGGTGGCAGTTGGAGAGACCAGCAGGAGGGCTGACAGTGTGGTTGCAGAGGTCTTATTTTCTTAGGAAACAAAGTTAAAAAGGTTGTTCTTAGCATAGGCGGGTTCTAGTGTCTAAATCCCTTTCTACATAAATGTGGAATTACCTGAGCGGTGTTGCTTTCTGGACACAATGACGGAACCAAAATTTCCCTGTGTTACTTTGCAGCTGTATGACCTTATGACTATGGCTTTCAAATACCAAGTGCTGCTGTGCCCTCGGCCCAAAGACATTCTGCTGGTCACATTCAATCACCTGGACGCCATCAAGGATTTCATACACGATTCCCCTGGCATTCTGAACCAGGTGGATGAAACTTTCCGACAGCTGATTGAAGTAAGAATCCTTAGAAAAATGGTGGGACACACTGTGGTTTGAGATTATTTTTTTTTCTCTCTTTAAAGCTAATCTGCTAATCTTCGAGACTAAATACTACATCAGTAAGTGCTGTAGTGAGTGTGGAGGTTGATATGTTCTCAACTTCAGAGAACCATCCAAATAACCTTCCCCTCTTTTTAACCTGAGGGAAACAAACTGGCCTCCTGGTTAGCAACTCCTGCTCATGTAGCTGCTGTGATTGTTTGGACAAAGAATATGCGTGTCCCTGTGAAAGGGAACTGGTTTCATAAAATGTTAAAAGTTCTGGGAAGTCATGAGATGTTTCCAGAGGGCTTCTGGAGAGGGAGATGTCTACGAGTCAAGTGTTACTTTGCTACTGGTCCAGTTTAAATTAATACATTGCTTATTCAGCCTGATCAAAGTCTCCACTGACTTCAGCAGAAATTAAAGCGGACTTGGTCACAGATTACTGATAAACACCAGCAGCCCACCTTATATCACTTCTGCATCCCCTGCCACACACGTACCATTTTTGGCCAGCAGTATTCTGACATACTTGTTTCCACGTTCACCTGGCTTGGACGTGGTTCACTTGCAAGGCCTCATGCGAGGGTTTCTCTTTTCCAGACATACAGCTGTCTCTCTGCTGGGGAATTTCAGCTCATCAGGCAGACACTCCTCGTTTTTTTCCAGGACATGCACATAAGGGTAAGAGCCCGATATAACTAGTCAGTAACAGAAGGGAGTTCATGGCTAGAATACGAAGGTATCTCGTCATAATTAAACCCTAAGTTCGCGGTTGTTACTTGTGATTTTCAGTCATCTTGATGCACTTTTGCAGTTTTGGTCTTGAAAATTTTACAAATTGGGCACATTACTACAGTAATACTCAATTCTAAAATGTTTTGAAAAAAGTAATTTCTGCTAGTACGGATTTACCAGTTGAAAAATGTTTTCCGTTTTAGTAGAAACTTGATATGAAACTGAGAACCTGAGCTTGAAGTCATGGGGCTTGATACTCTCTAAATAAATTGGTCATACCCAAGTGCATAAACAGTATGCTTTTTTCTTGATTTTTTTTCTTTTTTTTTTTAACTGTTACATCAGTGTGCCCCTCTGGACCACAGTTCTACATTACTGGCTTTGGCCTGTATCATAGTCTCTGTATGTATGTCAAAATCTTCAGGAAACCAGTCCCAGTCTAGGCAGGAAGGCTGCAGGGTCAGACTTCAGAGAATTCGTATCAGAAGATATGTAATTTATTTTCTAGAAAGTGGAATATTCTTTTGCAGGTCTCTATCTTTCTGAAGGATAAAGTGCAAAACTCTAATGGTCGCTTTGTGCTGCCAATATCAGGCCCTGTTCCTTGGGGTACAGAAGTTCCAGGACTTATCAGGTGAATTCTGAACTGCTGCTTACACTATTTGCAGTGCCTCGCGTGTATGGCTGCTCACGCAGTCAGTCCCAGAGGTCTGATGGGAATG